AAACACACATTCTACAGGAATGTTTTAAAGCGTTATTGCTGGGGGACATATTGGTTCACTGTAGGTAGACTATGTACACAGCACTCTCACAGGTGCTCTGTCGCGCCATGTCGCACTGAAGGAATGTATAAAGAAAAATTTAACTTCATGGTCTGACTATGTGGAGTATATACAACAGGTCGTAACCTCAACAGGAGGAATCAAGTACTGGGTTAGCAAGCTTGGTAAGTTTAAGGCGTTAATTTGCTACGTTGCAGGTCAGCGTCTCCGGTTTATGTGGCTATTTTGGTTTCAGAAATGCCCTGTAGCTTGCATACACATGTAGTATTAGCGTTTCTTCCTCATGTCAGGTTCTGACTAAGTTAGTTTGGTAAGAGGTCCTGTCTAGTGTAGTATCTACTCTTTGTGATGTACTTAGTGGGATGGGGGGGGTGGAGAGGAAAAGGGGAAGGGAGAAGAAAAAGAAAACAAAAAGGGGGAATGAATGAAAAGAGTGGGGGGAAAGGAATGGAGGGGGAGGGCCCCGCGGCAGCTCCCCCACAAGCCTCCATGTACTGTAGGTGTTTTCATGTCATGTGTCAAAACACCCCTGTGATGTTTTAGTTGGTCTCTCAGGGACTCTAATCCTAAGTTTACGTCAGTGGTTCCCCTTTACATGGGTCCACTGTCGGTGGTGGGGTGGGTGTCCAATGTTAATGAGTGGGATGTCGCATCTGGGAGTGGAGGTTGCTTAAAGGGCCTCTCTCTCTTTGGGAGATATAAGTAAGCCAGGGGGTCCAGAGTAGGGCACATCATTCGGGCTTTCCGCGAACATCCGCTTTGATGATTTTCATGCTATGGATCATCTCCATGTGTGTCATCAATTCGTGGACCGTTGGTGCATCTGGTTTACTCTATTTCGCAGGTATGAGGGCTTTAGCAGCATTTAAGAGATGTCTCGTAAGGGATTTTTTTGGTGGTAGCTGTATTTCTGGAGTCCTTTGGTGGTTCCTTTTCCTGGCAATGGTTTTGAGGGTAGGGCTATCTGTCCATTGATGGAAATATATCAAGTCTGACTCTGTAAGTCCTTTCAGGTCTGACGGCGTCAGTCCCCCGACTACCTACGGATTGTGTGTGATTAGGGTCATGGGTGAAGGGCTTAAAGATAGTTGTAGCATTCTCCAAACTGAGCATCGGGTCATTCAGCCATGGTAGGGTGGGGAGGGCGCCATGCATCTGGGCCTTCTCCAGTGGTATCTACATCTTCTGAGTGTCTCTCGCGTGCCAGCCTATGAGTTATAAGAGGTGTTTTGCCCGAAAGTACGTCTGGATGGAAGAAAGACCCACTCCGCTCAGCCGCCTCTGCATGGTCAGGTGTGGCAATTTTATTCTCGGTGAGCTTGATTCCACACGAACCGTGTCAGAGCAGAGCCTATGGATTGGAAAAATGCTCTTGTGAGTACTATCGGTATTGTTTGAAGTAGGTAGAGTATTCTGGGTAAGAGGTTCATTTTTATGACATTGATCCAGCCGAACTAGGAGATGTACAGATCTAACCATATTTTCAAGTCATCCTGTAGTGTCTGCAGTAGGGGCGTGACGTTTTCGGCATAGAGCCGATCAAGGTCCTTGGTCAGCCATGTACCCAAATATTTTATCTGTCGCGTGCACCACTTATACTGGAATTGTGAGTCAAGTGTCGCAATCTCCATCTGTGGAATTGATAGCGGTAGCGCTTCGGATTTGTCCAAGTTCAGTTTAAGATTTGATAGGGAGACCATGGGTGTTTTCAGGAAGAAGAGGAGGTCATCGGCATATGCCTCAACCTTATGCGTCATTCCTCTGTATGTGAACCCCTGTATACTCCCATCTTGCCTGACCAATTCAAGAAAGGGCTCCAGAGAGAAGGCAAACAGGAAGACGGCAGGGGGCACCCCGGCATGTTCCATTACAGATTGCAAATGGGTGGGATAGTGCTCCATTGATCCGTATTCATGCACTGGGTTCCGTATAGAGTGAAGAAATCCATGTGCGCATGTGGTCACCAGACCCAGACCGTAGGGTTTGGAGCATTAATTCTCCAGCTCACCCGATCGAAGGCCTTTTCGGTGTCGGTAGGAACCGGTGTCCAGCCCTCTGGATGGCGTGCATGACATTCAGCTCTCTTATGGCGTTATCTTTTGCCTCTCTAATATGTACAAATCCAACCTGGTCCAGGTGGATCAAATGTGGGAGTATCCTCCTGATCAGCAGTGCCAGGACCTTGGCGGTACCTCCCCTTCTTTATGGATAACCGTGATAGTGGCACCAAGTGTGTCTTTGGGGAATTGCACTCCCTCTAGGATCGAGTTAAGGCCCTTCAGCAGCCGGGGTACTAATACATCTTCGAACAACCTATAGTACGATGCAGGGAGCCCATCTGGATCCAGGGCTTTATTCCGTTTTGAGAATTTGAGGGCTGCAGAAAGTGTTATAGGGGTCTCCAGTACTTCTGTGGTGTCAGGCATTAGGGTAGTGGCTACGTGATTGTTCAAGTAATCCCGGATCAGGGTCGAGCGGCGGGTAGAGGTCTGAGTAAAACCTGTTGAATTCATTTGAGATCTTGTCGGGGAGCTGTGTGAGGTTGTCTCTAGTGGCAATCTTAGTAATCTGGTGTAACCATCTTTATTTCTGCAGCATTCCTGCCAGGAGATGACTGCATTTGTTGGAGTGTTCATAAAAAAATCTGTTGGATTTTCAAACCATTAGGGCCAGACGTTGCGCGAGGATCCTTTGTAGGTCTCTACAAGTTCCTTGTAAACGTGTTCAGTTTGGGTGTCCTTGTGTTGTTGTTCCAGGTTGGTTATCCTGTGTCAATCTTTTGTGTTCCTTTTTTACGGGCAATGCCAATTTTGATAAAATGTCCCCATAGTACACATTTGTGGGCCTCCGATAGGACCAGGGGGGCTGTTCCCGGTGTGTAATTTTCCCTGAAGTATTGTTGTATCGTAGTTCGTGTCGCCTGTCTCTCTTCAATATCAGTGAGGGCGTGTTTGTTCAGTTTCCACTGGTGTTCTGCTGCTTTCAATAGGGGAGATTGTATTTGTGTCACAACCGGTAGTAGTCTCGATCGTGCCTGTCAATAAGTGCCAGCTATCCGCGAGACCAGTGTCACGTATCACCTTCTGGATAGTTCTGAGGTTTCTTGGGGGAAGGGAGCGGTGTCCCCTGGCTATATTAAGATCACCTGTCACTAGAAGCAACATGACATGAGTGGGGAACCGATATTGTCTTATGTTAGGGGCATAGATATTTGCAAAAGTATATTTACGGTCCGCTATTGTTCCCTTTAGGAATAGGTATCGGCCAAATGGGTCTGCCAGTGCATCGGAATGAAATCAGTAAGGAGAACAGTATAGCAACCCCTGCTTTCTTTGCGTCCCTGTGATTGGCGAAGTAGCCCGTCGGATATCATGAGCACAGGGTGATCTATTTCAGGAAAATGTGTTTCCTGGAGGAAGGTCTACTGAGGCCCTTGCTGCCGAAATTGTTCTTATTAGATGTGACCTCCATTCTGGGGTGTTTAGGAGCCGTATGTTGTTAGGCCAGAGGCGCAGCGAAGAGGGTGTGAAACCCGAGGCCATGGTGGTGCTGCCCTGGTGAAGGGATGAGGTGGGAGAGAAGGAAAGAAGAGGAAGCACCCAGAGCTGTAAGAGGCGGGAGGTCTGAAATAATATTAATGGTCCTCTGCCTATGCACTCCTTAACAAAAAGGGTGTCTGTTTCGGAAGGGGAGGCCTTAACCTTCGCAGAGGTAGAAGTTTAGAACCAGAAAAAGGTGTACTAAAACCTTTGTTTTGTTGTCGATAAGTAAGTGAGGATCCATGTGTGTGGGTGCTCCGGCCCTGGCCGAGCATTTGTGGCTTGCGGTTATCTCTCCTGATCTGGTGTGCATCTGTATGGTGTAGATGCCATGTATTATGGTGGTGTTGTTCCCTCCCCATCATGTGAGACCTGTGTCACGTCCCCCAGGTCGTCCCTAGTCCCTGGTCACCTCTGTTGATAGGGTGTGGTTGGTGACGCCTGGCCTCCCAGTGTGTGGGACCTCATGGTTATGGGCAAATAGTATGTCTCGCTCCGGGTTAAGGCTTCGCATACGCCTCTAGGGGGACCAGTAGACAGTAGTATCAGGGCCTCGTCTTTTCTCATCACATTGCTTTTCACCTATTAGACATTATTGGGTGGATAGAGGGTACTTGGATGTTGCTTGAGTCTGACTGTAAGTTGGGCCACATTTAGGTATACAATATGTCAGCGGCAGGAATTTTGTGCGTGAAGTATGGGGGCGGCATGCGGCAGAGCAGCGAAGGGAGGTTCCCCAGGGGCAATGGGCCCATCTTGGGTAGGAGGTCTAGAATGCGTGACCCAAGGTTTCAAAACTAAGCTTATCTCGTTTGACCCCGGTTTATGGGGTTAGTGTGTAATAGGTGGGAGGTGTATACTCTCATCCACCTCCCTTACCTCCCCTTCCCCTTACCACATGATCCACTCATCATAGGGGGACCCTCAGTACCTGATCTGTGATGTCAAATGGTGTCCCAGGGCACATGGGAAAGGAGTCATGGCATCTGGATTTGAGGAGTGTTCTTTTTCATTCTTCTACTCCTGCTGGTCCTCTCCAGCGCCTACGTGGAGATAAGGTCTGTGGTGGTCATGTTGAGCCCGAAACTGTGTCTGGTCTGCAGGGGGCAGTCGGTTCCTCCATCAACCAGTTGCGGATCTTTGGAGACGGTAGGCAGAATGCTCTCATTAACTCATCATCTTGTCATCTTATTGACTGCCAGGTGGTCCCCTGGCATGCCTTTAGTCTAAATGGGAATCCCCAGCGGTAGGGTATCCCTTTGTCTCTCAGTGTGCTGGTGATGGGGCGCGTTGCTCTTCTGGCGTCTAGCGTCAGTCCTGAGAGGTCTTGGAACAGGGATTCTGTGGCGTTCTGGAATGCAATCAAGGGGGTGTCGCAAGCAGCTGCCATAATGTTTTCCTTCAGCCCGAAGTCATGGAGGCAGCATAGAACATCTCTAGGTCTGCCGTCCTAGCCCAGTCAAACTTGATCTCCGCCACGGCTGCCGGGCAGAGTATTTGGGGGAACTGGGTCTCTAGTGTGGTGGCTACTGGTGAGATATGCGGCTCAGATAGGCCACACACTCTAATGTTGGGGTGCCTTCTGCGATTCTCTAGGTCTTCCACTTGCCTGTGAAGGGATAGCAGCATGTTACATTGGCGCATTTCTGCCATTTCAGTGGCCCTGTAACTTTGTTGGCATATGTGTACCTCCACTTCAGCGGCCTCGACTCGGGCATCCAGTGCACTGAGGTCGGACTGCAACCCAGCCAGTTTCTCCCTCATCGCCATCCGGAACTCCTGGATCAGCATGCTCATGTTTTCTCTTGTGAGCATGTTCCCCGATATCATCTCCAGCTCGGATCTGATTTGCATCAGGGCCTCAACCTGTGGGGTCTCTTCAGGTGGGCCTTCCCCTGTGCTCTCCGATCCTGGCGAGGAGGGTGCCATCTTGTCTGTTTCGTTGTGGCCTCTCACTATTAATATCCTCCCCATATTTGAATGTTCTTTACCTCTTTAAGTCTACTTTATAAGGATTAATACATTTTTATTTACTTTTAATTGGCATAGTTAGACAGTCCTTTATAATGACCTAGGCAAACGTAGGCACTCCAGATGTTGTGGACTACATCTCATATAATGCTTTTATAGTTATTATACTGGAAAAGCATAATGGGAGATGAAGTACAAAACATATGTCGTCCCAAAGGTTGCCTACCCCTGAGCTAGACCTTACATAGGACATATACACTCCATGTGCAGATTAGTGTTTATTATTTCCACTGTGTGTTTTGTTGGTGGGCTTTGTATATCATATATATATATATATATATATATATATATATATATATATATATATATATATATATATATATATATTAATAAAGATTGATTTTAGCCCTTTCCTACACCCTTGACCATCTCTGTTTGTCAGATTTTTGTCAAGGTGATTTATTATTTTCTTTGCTCTATGTTGAACTAATTTTGATTCTCGTGTCTTCATTTATTGGGGCCTTGGTTTTCCTGACTGCCTGATTGTTTATTGCCTGATCTGACATTTGTTTAGTTGTCATTTCACTTTCCCCTGATATTGACAAATCAATAGTTTTATTTTTGGCTGCTTTCCTTTTCATCTATAAACATGGAGGAGTCCAGTGACGAGTACAAACAAATTATTCTTTTATTTTTTTATAATTTTTATCCCATTGATTGATATACATAATTTTCACATTCTTTTTGTAAAAATATGTTATATAAAACAGTGAATAAAATAAAGTGACCTTCTAAATGTGTCCTTCCATTTGAAATGTGAAAATGTGAGTCTTTTAGCTTAACTGATGCTTCTGATAATCTATTGGCAAAATTATAATTGCTAAACATGTATAACCCAATGATTATGATTTCAAAGAACCTTTTAGCTTGTAATGTGTATTTGACCAGCTAAACTGTCATTTCTCAAAAGCAAAGAAACCTTCCATCAGCAAAGAATCAATTTCTATGCATGAAAACAATGGAACTGACGGAAGAGGAATACATATTATTCTATAGATAGGAATACTATATGTTTTAGTTAAACAGCACCAATGCTTTAAAGTCTTTGACAAACAACAAGTGTTACAGCCAACTGAAAAATCTTCTAAATAGTGGAAAGGCAGGCTCAATTCTTTTCTTTTCTTCTCTTAAAAATAAAACTCTAATTCAAGTGCAAATCATTAAACATAAGATCTCGATGTTGACATCTTAGAGAGACCAAGGCTGTATCAGATTTTCAGACCTTTTCTATATTAGAACTATGTAACCTGAAGTTGCATTGGGTCTGAAATAGATGAAGATGCATAAGGGGACTGTGCCCACCTACCCCATCTACACTTTCATATAACTTCTCATTTCAACTTACTCTCCCACATATAATCCAGAAAATATAAAGAGTAATATTATATACTGACTATCCCTGGTCACTGTATTTATCGACATTAATACTTATCAGTTTATTCACTGAAAGGAGAACAACTGTAAAAAGAATTAATTTTCTTATATGTTCACTTTAATTCACTGTTTAATAAAAAAAAAATTCTTCTCTGGTGATTCCCTCCCCTCCCCTTCTACATTTCCCGTTTCCTTTAAGGGACACTGTAGGCAACAAAACCACTTCATCTCATTGAAGTCGTCTGGGCACACTGTACCCCTTAATCCTGCAATGTAAAACATTGCAGTTTTTGAGAAACTGCAATGTTTATATTTCAGTTCTAAGGTAGCCACTAGTGGCTGTCTACCAGAAAGCTACTAGAGGCGCTTCCTGGGGTTTACCGGATTTTGGGTCCAGTTAATGACCGGGGACATCTTCACATTGTGCATGACAACACCCAGCATCAGTGAAATTTCCACATTGATTCAATGCTTTCCAATAGGGAGGGCCTAATGCGCAGAGGAGGCAGAGCATCGACCCAGCGCAACAAGGGGGGGGGGGGGGGGGAACAACATCAGAGGGCCCTATAATTGTAGTAATAGAGATTTGTATTCCTAACACTATAGAATCCCTACAAGTATCTTTTTTTAACCCTGTGTGTTTTCTTTTATTCCTCTTTCAGTCTCATATTAGGCTCTTGTTTTGAATACAGTCTTTATTTTTGCTCTCTAGTACACCCTGTTAATGTTGCTGACACTGCCTGATGCAAGGTGTGCAGGGACGTGACTTCTTCACATGCATTGCTGAATACTGAGCAGCTCAGCAGCAGACTATCAGCGAGAGAAAAATTAGTCAATGTTTATAATATGCACTAAATAAGTATCCTGCTCAGTGTTGTAAGTAAAAGTAAGTAGTCACAAGCTACAAAACACCAAAGTAGCCAAGGACAGTTGCTTTGGCTTAGCTGTGGGGGGTGGGAGGGTGGTTCACCCCGGAGGGCACTTTTTGGGAGGCATCTCTGCCCGGCCCTCTGTTTCACGTGTAAGGTGCCACTCAGCCTTGAAATTTCTGAGCCTGGGACACCTGGTGGCTGGATCGGGCCATGCAGCAACAATGCCTAGGTAATCAGAGACCTCCGGTCCTTTAATATTGCACTGGACCAGGCCCTTTATGAGTTGCCCCGTGACATGCTAGGAGGAAGTGAATGAGTTCAGATCACTTGCGCCCAGCAAACAGGGCGCCACGTGGGTAGGAGGAGGAACAAAAGTGGAGGAGTAGGAGGAGGAGAGGGACTCTGGAAGACTGAGACCCCAGGGAAGCCACACTTCTGCATCCAAAAAGTAATAAAAAAGGAGGGTGGCTAACAGATGTCAGTTGTTATTTATGTATGTGTGTCAGTGTGCCTGTGTAACAGTGTGCGTATGTACCTGTGTGTCAGTGTGTCTTTGTGTCATTGTACCTATGTGTCAGTGTGTCTGTGTACTTGTGTGTCAGTATGTCTATGTACCTGTGTGTCAGTGTGTCTGTATATCTGTGTGTGTACGTACCACTGTGTATATGTGTACCTGTTTGTCAGTGTGTTTATGTACCAGTTTGTATGTACCTGTGTCAATTTGTGCATATACCTGTGTGTCTTTGTATATCTGTGTATCAGTGTGTGTATGTACCAGTGTGTCTGTGTACCTGGTACTTGTGTGTCAATTTGTGTAACTTTGTGTCTGTGTACCTGTCTGTGTGTGTATGTACCTGTGTGTCAATGTGCGTACCTATGTGTCAGTGTTTGTATTTGTCTTTGTAACTGTGTGTCAGTGTACTTGTGTATATGTTTACCTGTTTGTCTGTGTATGTGCACCTGTGTATATGTGTGTATGTGTCTGTATACCTATGTGTCAGTGTTTGTATGCACCAGTGTGTCTGTTTACATGTGTGTCTCTGTGAATGTGTACTTGTGTGTGTACCTGTTTCTCTGTGTGATTTTGAATGTTTGTGCATGTGTGTGTATCTATGTGTGGCAATGTATACATTCCTGCATTCCAACATCAACACTGCACATAAAAACATCCATGTATTCCAATGCTAACACTGCACACAAATATACCTTTGCATTTCAATGCTAACTCTGCACACAAGTACACCTTTGCATTTCAAAACTAACACTACAAATACACATGTCGCAGGCTGTGTGGAGGGGACGGGGAAATAAATCTCATCATATCCCTGCTTTCTGTTTTCCTCACAGCATGGCTGGTGCTGAACCGCTTTAGTGAGGAGGCCAGCCTGAAAGTGGCAGCAAAAGTTTAGCTACACGGCTGGCCAAGAGTATTATGGACATGAGACCTACATGAGACTATTAACTAAGGTATGCTTAAGAAAAGAGGATATTGAACCTGTAATAATGTTAGCAAAATGATCTGTCCAGTACAGTAGGTAATTCATTTTTATCTTCTTCTTGTGATATACTGAAGAAATGGCCACAGGACACAAACAGGAACAGGCACAGCATGCATTCTGAATCTTGAAAAAACAATAGTAGACTCTGGATTCAGTAAGAATTACTACCAAGATTAACCAGGAATAATAAACTGCTTCTGTGTCTGGAACCAAACAAATATAGACATAGACGATTTCTATTGCACTGGACAATAATATGCTTATTTTGAAAGAGGAAAAATAGGTGTCAAAGGTGTGGCTTGGGGCGGAGCCTAACCACGGAGCCGAATGGACGCCATCATCCACGGCTCCCCGGCATTGAGACACAATCTACCACGAATCTCAGGTAGGGGGGGCCATCGACCCGCGGGACCCACAGTCACGATCCCAGGGCTCACAGGGCTACCCACTGATGCCCTTTTTCAGCCCACAAACGGGCAAAAAACGAGTCCGCAAATCCCGGGCCTACCTCACTCTCCCGCCGGCATCGCAGCTACCCGCGGGATTCCCCCTGAGCCTGGAGGACTGGTGCGGACAACGGGCAGGCCACTACTCACCCGACAACGATATGGGGAGGCGAACACAGAAGTCACAACAGGCAGCACCCAGGGACTCCCAAGATATTGGGACTCTGCTGCAACGCACAGCAGGCCACAAAATGGCGGCCGAACAAGAACAGGAACCTAGCCCCACACACTCAGCACAGCTGTCCCAGGGAAGCAGCAGTGACATGAGAGTTGAAACTCCCAGCAACCCACAAGCAGAGGGAGATGACTCAGCTCCAGCTACTAAAAGGGACATTAGACTCCTATTACAGGAGATGAAGGGGCTGTTTGACACTGACATAAACTTAATCCGCACAGAAACGCAGGCGGTGACGGCAAGAGTACAGGCCTCTGAAGAAGACATACTAGACCTCCGACAGGAGGTGAAAAGCATGGGGGACGCCCTGAAACATTTACAGACAGCGAACTCAGCGCTCCAAAACACGCTAGACGCCATGGAAGATCGCAACAGGCGCACACATATTAAGATTCGGGGTATTCCTGATACAGTGGGACCATCTGAATTACCACAGTTCCTGAGGAGACTCACGGCCACAATACTGCCACAT